CCATTACAAAATGTTTATTCACATTACAAAATGTTTATTCACATTACAAAATGTTTATTCACATTACAAAATGTTTATTCACATTACAAAATGTTTATTCACATTACAAAATGTTTATTTACATTACAAAATGTTTATTTGCATTACAACATATTTGTTCATATCATAAAATATTCATTAACGTTACACATATTTAATTACAACAACCTCAAATTTTGGATTGGCACCTTTCGCAAAAAGAAGCCAACAAACCAAGACTTCATGTTGGGTGCAATTCCCTGTAAATGTCACTTTTCTAACTTGTCTATAGAGACCAATCTACAAGACACATAGTTAATGCTATTGTCTTGTTTTGGCACCTGCGCACATCTTTAGGAGGTCAGGAAATGAATACATTAACAATAGCATTAAGGAGGGCTTTTCTTTTGAGCTAAATGGCTTTTTTAAAGCCAAGCTGGTGTCAGGTTTCCTATACGATGTCAGGTTTCCTGTATGATATCAGGTTTTCCGTACGATGTCAGGTTTCCCGTACGATGTCAGGTTTCCCGTACACCTTAGCATTAGAGGTCACCGATCTATGTTGGTTTCTTTTACACATCGGAGGACACATTACATTTAATGCTTCACCCTGTTTATGTTCACTGATTACACATTTCATACATCTATGTTAAAAAAAGAAAAACATTAAAGGATCGGCTGTCTTTACTTCCGGAGACTGCACCCGGTACCCACTTAAGGCTGGGTTGACCTGGGAGCCAAGGTGATTTTTTTTTTAAAAAGTCTGGCTCCACCCGAGTAGACCCACGACCTTCGGACCGCGGTGAGCGCCTAGTCGCTCCGCCACAGCAACTCCAATATCTATGTATTTTTTTTAAATGTAGATAAATTCACTGATTTAATAATAACCTGTGTTAAATTGTGGGGGTTTTTCAACTGATTATTGTCTGGAACTCTAAGAAAGTCAGAACCTATTTTGTTTACAGTTCCCAGGGTTAAAGGGCTGAAGGTACGACAACAGTCTATAAGAATAACTGAATCAATCAATTAATCAAGAACTGACACACTGCAGTTTATCATATAAGGATCTTCCTTCTTATTTTTTCTACTCCTGGAATTCCTTGCGGAGTCAAGAAGAGATCTCTGGAACGAGCCCTTCTAATTGCTTCATATAAAGTACTTTACAGTGTCTCTGATATTTCTGCGGTCAATTTTCTGTGTGGTCAACCCCTAGCTCTGTTACCTTTGTATGTGTCTAACACTGCTCTCTGCAGTGCCCTGGTGCCCTGTCTGATACCAGTCAAGGGGGACTATTGGCTTGACATCGACCTGGCTGCTTTGAGATCGAAGCTAAGTGACATTGTGTATTTGTGTAGAATTGTCTAATCTATGTATGTGCTGAAGAAGGCTCCATAGCCGCAATGTTGATGTTTTGTTTGTGCTTGTTATATTGTGAAGCTCACTGATATACTTTTCGTTTGGTTTTATATCTTTCCCTGATACCGGTCTTGTAACATGGCTAAACCATTTGATCTGCTGTCTACCTATGAAGTTCAGTATTGGTTCTCCTCCTGATATCACGGTTCCCAAGTCAATCTTTCCTCGTTACATCTAGCATAGTATGTAAACATTTAATTTCTGTCGTGACTGTTTTCCTTCTGTCTTCTAAATATAGTGTCCATGTTGCTCACCACCCAGAGGAGTGGCAGCCTCTTTATTATAATTTTTTTGATCAAATTACCAATGATGTAGCTGTTTTTAATGGTACACTACATCCTTGTTGGTTCCCCCATAAGCAGAAGTCCATCTGAGCAACAACTTTTAGGAGCTCATCATACAACACACTGCAGAAGTCCGTGTGAGGATAAAGAGATCAGGATAATAGACAATGCTTTGCAATCCAATTACTATTCTTTTGTCGTCTCACTGATACCAGACTGCAGCCCAGTGTCGTGGTTTTGTTGTCTCACTGATACCAGACTGCAGCCCAGTGTCGTGGTTTTGTTGTCTCACTGATACCAGACTGCAGCCCAGTGTCGTGGTTTTGTTGTCTCACTGATACCAGACTGCAGCCCAGTGTCGTGGTTTCTTGTATTTGTCTTGCACTTCTCAGGTGACTTAGGTTATGAATTTATTCATCCTTTTGCAGATTTCAGCTATACCCTTTATCCATCTCTTTCTTGGTCTTCCCCTCGCCTTCCTCCCAAATGTTCTGCTGTATAAAAGATAAATCTCATTGTGCAATTTGGTCTGACTGCATTTTCACTAGATGGTCGAACTATTTCATTCTTTGTCAATATAATCTGAACATGGTCTAATTCTGACTTTCTCTCTGACGCTGGCATTTGTAACCCTGTCCCTTCTTGTACTTTCTCTCTGACGCTGGCATTTGTAACTCTGTCCCTTCTTGTAATTTCTCTCTGACGCTGGCATTTGTAACTCTGTCCCTTCTTGTAATTTCTCTCTGACGCTGGCATTTGTAACTCTGTCCCTTCTTATACTTTATCTCTGACTCTGGTATTCGTAACCCTGTCCCTTCTTGTACTTTCTCTCTGACGCTGGTATTTGTAACCCTGTCCCTTCTTGTACTTTCTCTCTGACTCTGGTATTTGTAACCCTGTCCCTTCTTGTAATTTCTCTCTGACTCTGGTATTCGTAACCCTGTCCCTTCTTGTACTTTCTCTCTGACGCTGGTATTTGTAACCCTGTCCCTTCTTGTAATTTCTCTCTGACGCTGGTATTTGTAACCCTGTCCCTTCTTGTACTTTCTCTCTGACGCTGGTATTTGTAACCCTGTCCCTTCTTGTACTTTCTCTCTGACGCTGGTATTTGTAACCCTGTCCCTTCTTGTACTTTCTCTCTGACGCTGGTATTTGTAACCCTGTCCCTTCTTGTACTTTCTCTCTGACGCTGGTATTTGTAACCCTGTCCCTTCTTGTACTTTCTCTCTGACGCTGGTATTTGTAACCCTGTCCCTTCTTGTACTTTCTCTCTGACGCTGGTATTTGTAACCCTGTCCCTTCTTGTACTTTCTCTCTGACGCTGGTATTTGTAACCCTGTCCCTTCTTGTACTTTCTCTCTGACACTGGTATTTGTAACCCTGTCCCTTCTTGTACTTTCTCTCTGACGCTGGTATTTGTAACCCTGTCCCTTCTTGTACTTTCTCTCTGACGCTGGTATTTGTAACCCTGTCCCTTCTTGTACTTTCTCTCTGACGCTGGTATTTGTAACCCTGTCCCTTCTTGTACTTTCTCTCTGACGCTGGTATTTGTAACCCTGTCCCTTCTTGTACTTTCTCTCTGACGCTGGTATTTGTAACCCTGTCCCTTCTTGTACTTTCTCTCTGACGCTGGTATTTGTAACCCTGTCCCTTCTTGTACTTTCTCTCTGACGCTGGTATTTGTAACCCTGTCCCTTCTTGTACTTTCTCTCTGACGCTGGTATTTGTAACCCTGTCCCTTCTTGTACTTTCTCTCTGACGCTGGTATTTGTAACCCTGTCCCTTCTTGTACTTTCTCTCTGACGCTGGTATTTGTAACCCTGTCCCTTCTTGTGTTGTTAATGACCTTATGGAGATAGCACATTTCACAGGTATACAGTAGTTATTTTCTGTTCTAGTGCTCTATTCACTGTCCATGTTTGGCACTGATAGCATAAAGTAGGGATGAAGATACTATTAATCATTTGCCTTTTTGCTGGAAGGGAGTGGTGCACTGATGTTGGTTTTTGAATCAACTCAACTCTTTCTTTCAGTCTGCAATCCCATACAACTTTGCAAAATGTCCACAGGAATCATATACAGAATGTATATATTAATTCGAGGACCCAGTATATTAGAATTCAGACCTTGCAACTTGAAGACTCATTCAACAGACCATTGTATTCACACTATGAACTGGACTCAACAGATTCCACATCCATATGTACCAGAAGTTCAAGGCCAGGGACTCAGAACTTTGCCCATGTGGACACTACAGAATATTGAACAAGTGCCGCAGAATGCTTTCCCCACATGCAAACAGACAGATTCCAGGTCTGATCAGTTAGCATCTCAGTGGAAACTTAGATGTTTGGATCCATGGAGGACATGCATCACACCATAAACTTCATACAGGCCGGTAGCCTTCTCATTTGAAAAACACTGGCAGGAAGAAAGAAATGAGAAAGAAGATGAAAAAGAGGAGGAGGAGGAGAAGAAGAAGAAGATGACGACCTTTCAACTTTGATCCTAGCAGAGATAAACATACACTGTTACTACCCGCCAATCTGCTTTTTTTCAGGGATCTCTGGTCATGCGCTTAATCCACTTTGGGCCATAAAAAGGGATGTCATCTCAAGGTATCTCTGGTTTTTCCCAAAGCTTAGCTGTCAGGTCTACTGGGTGTGGCCACATGTTGCTTCACAGCTCCTCCAGGAGAGGACAGCCAGTCTTGCCAGACATGGTCTGGAGTCTGTTCAGCATGAAGACATTGACAGAGAGCTGTTTAGCTCATACCTAAATCATATATGAGTGTTTGTTGAGTCTGCAGTTTCCAGTGCATAAGTAAAACATTATAACTTGGTCAGTTCTGTTCAGATGACTGAGGAAATCATTTTCATGGTTAGGGCACACTCAGCTGCTTGGTACACTGTGATATTGTGAAGACTGTCAGTGACTCCTTCAATCCATCTTCTTCTGTGTCTCCCTCTGCACCCTGGTGTTCCTGTTTTCGTGTTTCACACTCTTGCTGCTGACATTATTGCATTCATTATCACTAGACAGGCGAACCATGTCAGTCATTGTTGTCCAATCTGCTTCCAATTTTCTGAATTTCTCTTAATAAGGGTTTTGATTTTGAAACAGATACTGGCTGACGGATTTGTTGTTTTATCTGCCAATCAAGATCTCTTTGGTATCTTGAAGCACAGCCAGAGAGGCTGACCCAGTGGATCCACAGCTGGCCACTCTGCCACTCCACCACAGATGCATCCCCATGATGTGTTGAGTTACACGGTGTCGCTGTCACATGCTGACCTTGACCAGAGTCTTGCGGACTCGTTTGCCGGTCATCACCAGAGACTGGTTGACGTCTGTGGTTGCTGTCCTCTTTTTGTTGGACCTACATCCGTGAATAAAAGACCAGATTAGAAACTGTAACTGAAGAGGGTACAGAGAACTTGTTGCTATATTCAATTACCTTTTTAACTATTCCCCATAATAAACAGTAATGGGGAATGTGCAACAGAGATCAAAATGAGGATAGCCATAACAACACAAAGATTAAACAGAATTAAAGGCCCATGATTAAGCACCAGCAAAGAAATCAAAATCAAAATTTTGAGAGCATGAACCTTCCCTGTAGCAATACATGGATGTGAGTCATGAACTATCTCGCAGTCCCTAAGGACGAAAATAAGGAGACCTTTGAGCTGAAATGCTACAGAAAGATGAGAAGAAACACTAACATCCTAAAAGATCTGGACATCAAGGAAGACTGGCAAATAAATAGCATTTTGTCTCCTAAGCTCAAATATTTTGGCCATGTCAAAAGGCATAAGGCAAGGTGTCAGGAAGGAGGGGCAGAGGCTGACCAGCACAGAGATGGGCACAGAATATAAATGAATCCTTGGGGAGGAGTTGGCAAGAGACCAAGTTTCTTCCTAGCAGAAATGAGAGCGATTTTCTGCGAAGGACCTGCTACATGATGACCTTTTGAAAGGCCAGTATTTTACCAACATCAGAAGGAGAAGATCTACATTTGTTGACCATTTTAAAAGAAGACCAGTATTTTACTAACATTAGAAGGGGACAATCTACATTTATTGACCTTTCAAAAGAAGGTCAGTATTTGACCAACATCAGGAGGGGATAATCTACATTTGTTGACCTTTTAAAAGAAGGTCAGTATTTGACCAACATCAGGAGGGGACAATCTAAATTTTTTGACCAAGCCATGTGAAGGGGAAGACTAGAGTACATTGTGATGGTGGGAAAGTCGGATGGGGAAAGAAGCAGAGGGACATGGAAAGGGATGATGCTGGACAGTCTGACATCACCGCATGGAAGATCATCTGTGTCAGAAATGATTCAAAGTGCTGGAGACAAAAGGTTCTGGCTAGACATGATTGCCAATGTTGTGGAATGCTTTATAAGAAAAACTTAGCATGTTTTATTTTTATAGAGAAATACTGAATGAGTAAGTGAGAATGTCAGTGATAGAGAGAGACTCTGTGTGAGTGTGTGAGAGAGACTGTGTGTGTGTTTTTGAGAGTGTGAGAAAGAGTGTGTGTGTGAGAGAGTGATATAGTGTGTGAGAAAAAGTGTGAGAGAGAGAGAGAGTGGGAAAGAGTGGGAGAGTGTGTGAGACAGTGTGTGTGAGAGAGTGGGAGAGAGTGTGAGAAACAGTGTGTGTGAGAGATAGAGAGTGAGAGAGATAAGGTGGGAAGACTAAGAAGGGCTAGTGCCCATTGCTGACTCAGCGGCATTTTTTTAAAATTCAGTGGTTTTTGCTGGCATCCCATGTCTTTTGTGATTCACTACCTTGTAGGAGGAGGGGGAGAAAAATAAGGAGGAGGAAGAAGAAAAGAACAAAAAGAAACTAACAGAGAAAAAAGTGAGAAATTTGGAAAAAGAAGAGAAGATATTGAAAGGAGAAAAAAAGATAGAAGAAAAAGGAATTTAAAAAAAAAAAGAGAGAGAGAGAGAGAAAAGAAGAGGGAGATAAACAAAAAAATGAAAAAGCAAAGAGAAACAAGAAAGAAAAAAGAGAATAGAAGAGGAAGAAGAAGGGGTTACAAAAACAGAGAAAAGAAAAAGAAGAATATCAAAGAAATAGTGGTAGTAGTTACCCTTTTTGTTTCTCGTGTGCAGGCATCTGCTGGTCTTGAACCTCAGTAGACAAGTGTGTCCCAGGTACATCTTGAGTACTGCTGATTTCTGCCACAAAATGAGAACTCTCAAAGACCACAGCCAAAGGAGAGACCAGAGATCCTTGGTAAGCAGAACCAGCATCTGATGATGCCCATTCTTCAAAGGGTAAACTTCTGGGTGGCTGAGAACTCATCTCCATATTCCCCATATGTGGAACCTGGCTTTCTCCAATGAAATCACCCAAGATGCCTCGCACACTGTGAAATGGTTCAGCTGGCGGATATCCACTGTCCGAACTGTTGGAGCCATCTTGAATTTCAGATATTGTTTCTCCCTCGCAGAAGCTACTTGTCACAGTCTTCTGATTATCAATGCTTGCTGCTGACCCATCCACAAAGTGCCCCTGTGATAAGTTGGATTTTATTAAAGTTAATGATGAGGATGTACAAGCAGGTGCACATATTTTCGGGTGACAGTTTTTTGATTCAGTGTCAGCCGGAAAAACACAAGCCGTTGCATCTGTGGAAGCAGTAGTGCTAGCAAGATTACTGATATTGTTGTTGTTTGAGCCTGCACAAGCAGATAAACCCAAATCCAGCTTACAGTCTAAATTAAATAAACTGGTATCCCTCTTGGAATTTGATTCCAACAAATTTATGTCAGTTTCAACATGCGAATCCAACAAACTTGTACCCGCTTTTGAACTCGAGTCAGAAAGAGGTTTATTATCTTTAGAATTCTCATCCAATAAATTGATGTTCTCGCTAGAAGCTGAACATTCTTTGTTTTTATTTGCATTGTCACAATCTGTGGAGATTAATTCCCTTTTCAAAAGATCTTGATCATGTGTGGGGTTCAAATCTTCACCCTCAAAATTTGCCCCAAGAATCAGCGAACTGGACAAGCCACAATCAAAATTGTTCAGCTGCAGTTGGGCCAAAGGCAGAATTGCAGTTTGTGAGTTATCAACAGAAATGGCGACGGAAGATTCCAGATCGCCGGTCAGCAAATGCATAGCACTGTCCCCAGAGTTTGCCAGAGAAGCCAGCATCTTCATCAAAGAGTCCTTATCCACGGCCACGTTGACCAGAGTCGGCTGGGTCCCATCATTGTTTAAACAAGTGTATCCTTTTACCACAACAAATTGTTGACTCCCAGCCACAGCCTGATCTGTTGGCATGTGTAGTACCGATGGCAGTGCTGTTGAAAATAGAGAAGAGGTGGAGCTGGATACATTCTGCAAGATGGAGCTCATGGCATCTGAGGAGGCCTCATGGCTGTGTAGAGAACTGGTTTCTATGTTAGAGCTGGCAGAGTTGTCTTCTGTTGATTCAGATCTCATGGTACTGGCAATATGCTGGCTCTCCTAAGGAACCAAGGAGAGAAAAAACATCACTTCCTTGTTAGAACTAAGCATTCACAGGATATAAATCAGAACAGGCATATTTATCTAAAAAGAAAAAACAAACAAACAAAAGTGAACTTAACAAAAGCGTATAATTAATATTCAAGGAACCATTTTTTTTTAAATTATCATGATTTATATAGAGCCAGTTTTAACATACAGCTGTGAAGCCTAGACAATTAATAAACAGGTCAAACAATATCTTGAGACCTAGGAGATGTGGTTTTTACAGAAGAATCTAGAAGAGTAACCCAGATGTTTTGTAAAAAGCGAATGCTCGAAGACAACTTATCACTAACATCAAAAAGAGACATTCAACATTTGTTGGTCATGTTATCAGAAGAGGTAAAATGGAACATGCTGTAACCACTGGAAAGATTTGTGGAAAAAGAGACACAGGAAGACGGCGCGAGAAGATTCTTGACAGCCTTTTGCCATGCCATGGAGGTGTGTCAACACACGAACTGATACAGGCAGAGAGGCATGATTGCCCATGCCAGTTGGCAAAGCATTTGAGGATGAGACAAATAAAACAGGAAGATATAGCATTCTGGGCTGGGAACAGATACTGAGGTCTGAAAAAGACAATTTTATATATATATAAAATTGTCTTTTTCAGACCTCAGTATCTGTTCCCAGATATATAAAACAAGAGCTCAGTAAAAAAAAAAAAAAATAAAGGTCCCTTTTCCACGCCTTTAGGCATATAGGGCATATAGAGCTATATTTGTATAGACCAATCGGCACAAGATAGGTAATGTAGTCAGCATCATGCCCAAGAGCTCGGTATTGAAGTCGAATGATTATTTGGACAGAAGAAAAATAGAGGAAGATGTACATTGAGTGTGCAAATAGATTTGATAGTCTGAAACAGATTACCATGGACGAAGGTGCTCTGAAGAGGAAGAGAAGACTAAGTATTCTGGACAAATAAAAATACATAAAGGTCTGGAAAAGAAAATCATGGAGAGAGGAGTCCTGAGGGAGCAGAGAAGAGGAAGACTACATGCAGAAGGATAACAGATATTAAGATGAGTTACACATGACAGCAACACACACAGGACATCTGACATACAACACAAATTATGGAGACAGACTAATAAAAGACAGACAAATGATTGGAGAAAGAAAAGAGGAAGGAAGAAATAGGTCACACATGTGTCAGAGATTCAACAGGACAGACAGATATGTGATTTTTCTCTGAGACACTTTAGTTAAGTAGTTCTGTTTATTCTTTTTTGTATTTGTGGTATAAAAAATTTAAGTAATGTGCTGTTAAAGGTTCTCTAACCGAAACGCCCGCTTGTGGGTTGTGTTTGTGATAATGTGAAGCTGACGGGTTCTACTTTTTTATGGTTAGTTTTTTTTTTTTTTTTTTTTTTTTGACAGGATAAAATTAGGAACGAAAGGAGAAAATAAGGAAGGGAGAGAGGATGAAAACAAAAGAGAAAGACTTGAAGGATAGAAGGATTGCATCAATGAAGTACAATAACACTTTCATAAACATAATTTAAGAAAAAAATGAAGGTATCAGAAAGAAACAAGACAAAAGAAGATGAGAAATCTCACCTTGTCAACAACCTGAGGGAAGTGTGTTGGAGAGCAGACACTCTGGCTATCATCATCATCCACAGAGCCACTGTCAGACTCCAGCTCTACCTGCGTGCTGGCCTCACACTGAACACACATACATAGAGAACTAATGTACATAAAGAACTAATGTACAAGAAGCTCATATTGTCGGCACTATCAATCAGTCAGTACAAGAAGCTCATATTGTCGGCACTATCAATCAGTCAGTACAAGAAGCTCATATTGTTGGCACTATCAATCAGTCAGTACACGAAGCTCATATTGTTGGCACTATCAATCAGTCAGTACAAGAAGCTCATATTGTTGGCACTATCAATCAGTCAGTACACGAAGCTCATATTGTTGGCACTATCAATCAGTCAGTACAAGAAGCTCATATTGTTGGCACTATCAATCAGTCAGTACACGAAGCTCATATTGTTGGCACTATCAATCAGTCAGTACAAGAAGCTCATATTGTTGGCACTATCAATCAGTCAGTACACGAAGCTCATATTGTTGGCACTATCAATCAGTCAGTACAAGAAGCTCATATTGTTGGCACTATCAATCAGTCAGTACAAGAAGCTCATATTGTTGGCACTATCAATCAGTCAGTACACGAAGCTCATATTGTTGGCACTATCAATCAGTCAGTACAAGAAGCTCATATTGTTGGCACTATCAATCAGTCAGTACACGAAGCTCATATTGTTGGCACTATCAATCAGTCAGTACAAGAAGCTCATATTGTTGGCACTATCAATCAATCAATTTATCGGTCAATGAAATAATCAATCAAGAATTGACATCACTGCACTTGGGACATTCCCATGCATGCTCCCTCTCCTTTCTCAACAGCCAGTGAAGTGTCGACATGCTAACAGCAGCACCAGCTGCAACCTGATTAAAAGTCCACTGTTGTTCCCCCCCCCCCCCCTTGGTGCTCAACTTCTTCCAGAACCTCTGTTCTTTATCCTCTTCTTTTTCGCATTCACAGGCCGTGAACTCCAGCAGAAAATTCCGGTTGTTCATCCACTCCTGTAGGTTAGTCCTCTTTCTAAAACCCAAGTGTTGCATGCACATCCATTTTACAGATCTGACATATTTGTATGCAGACTGTTGGTTATCTGCTTCTCAGGCAGACGCACTCTGACTTTGAAGGAAGCCCCTAATTAGTCCACTCTTATGACATGCTTTGTTGCAGAGACAGTGGGTCTATTCTTGTTTTACCCAACAATGGTGCCCTGGGGCCTACACAGGGAAGTCACTCTACTCAACTCCCCTTGAATTAGTCTCTCAAAGTATGGATTCTCTGTCTCTTCTATTGCACTTTCCATTTGAGAACCTTCACCATGTCTGTTTTATCATAAAATAGCTCAACCCCCAGAGGAGCAGCATCAGCCAATCTATCCGCCTGCTCATTACCCCACACAACCGAATATTGTGGATAGAAAATCCATAATTTGCTCCTGAACCGAGTCTTATCAAGCAACGCAAGCCACTCTATGTGTTGGACACCAGTTTCAATTTTCTGTGTCATTCTCTGTGAGTCTGTTTCAAATACAATATGTCAGACTGCAGCTCCCAAGCCATCGGAAAGCTGCCATGAATGCATCCACCTCCATTCTCATACTGGAGGTTATATGTAAGGCTCGAGACACACCTGCATTCAGAATATGTCTTCTACAATTCATCATCATCATCATCAGTCATCAGGTCCTTTACAGAACATCGCTCTCTTCACAGAACACCTGAAAATCTTTCTTTCTCTAGCCAATTCTCACACCCTATGTGCTTTCATACCAAATTGCATCTTCTATGTCTTATATTCACGGAGGTGCAGAAACTGTACTCTCCTTCACCGTTCTCTCCAGGCCACTATAATGTTTAACTTGGCCAAACTTCCACAGCTTCTGGGACATGGATCCTGTTTGTGAACCAATTCTCTCTGATACTCAGATAATGCAGGATGTCTTGTGTTTTTACTTTACAGATACAGAAAGACAACAAAAGCTGAGCCAGGAGAGAGAGATTTAGAAAGATAGGCTTAGAAAGACACAATGAGATAGAGAAAGACAGAAAGTTAGAGAAAAACAAAGGGAAAGAGAAAGACAGGCTGAGGTGTAAAAAGTAGATAGAAAAATACACACAGATATAGGGACATCAAGACAGACAGATAAATACACAGACTGACCGAGTCCGGACAGACAGACACACAGAGACAAAAAGCCGGACACACAAAAACACAGGATCATTAAAACAGATAGATAATGGACAAAAACACAGACAAATTGAGTAAGAACAGACAGACAGGCAAGACAAAAAAATAGAGAAAAAGAGAAATAAAAATACAGCAGACACAGAAAGACACACACAAAGAGCCAGGAAAAGCAGACAGAAATATAGGTAGGTAGGTAGGTAAGTTGTACCCCACCAGGACATCAAACAAGCTACAAGCACCGGGTGACACAAAGTGCCACCCAGGGGATGAGGATCACCCATGGAGAGGTCCCAGAAACCCTGTTCAGCCGTTAGGCTTTATTTAAGGCCCGACTATTATTGGGACTCCCAGCAAAAGCCAGGGTGGGGGCTTCAAAATTACTAAAAATTTGCTTCCCACACGGGGACGATAGTATCTAGATAAAAAATTGACAGAAATATTGCAGTAGTACTTTTACCTCACCAGGACATCACACAGGCGATAAACACCTGATGACACGAAGTGCCACCATGTGGATTAGGATCACCCGTGGAGAGGTCTCAGAAACCGCGTTCAGCCATTAGGCCATATTAATGGCCGGGCGATATTGCGGCCCCTGGCAAGAGCCAGGGTGGGGCTTCAAAACGACAAATTGCATCCCACAAGAGTTTTAGACAGAAATACTTACACAAAGAGAGAGGTGAGAAAAAGACACAGCGATTCATACCTATATGTGTAAAAAAAAAAATATTTAAAACATACACTGAATAAATGTACAAACCTGCGATGCTTCAACTGTCTCTGGTCCCTCGTTCTCCTCTTCCTCCTCTTCACCATCATCATCGCCATCATCCTCTCCTTCAGACAGATCAGGTTTTGGCTCCTTTTGCTTTTTAGTGCCTGCGGCTGAGTTTCCTGCCCTGTCATTACTTCCCTTAGCTTGGGTTCCCTCCCTTGAAGCGTGAGTACTTTCAGCCTTGCCGCTGTGGGCCAGGGCAGAGAAAATGTCTTCCAAGTTCATTCTGTCTCCCTGAAACAATGAACAATGTGAGAAGATGTCATACAAGGCTAATACTATGTCAGGAAAAGAAGAATTATTGTGCAGTCAGTCAGTAATAAATGCCATCACAAAATCTAAACTCAATGACCCTACTGCCATATTTCAGATGCCAAGCAAACAGGAAATACTCATTAGTATGCTAATAGTTATTATTATTTGCCGTCCTTTTTAGGATGACATTTTTCGTTATTTGAAGCCCCACCCTGGCTCTTGTCAGGGGCTGCAATATAGCCAGGCCATAAATATGGCCAATTGGCTGAACACGGTTTCTGGGACCACTCCACGGTGATCCTCATCCACATGGAGGCACATTGTGTCATCAGGTGTTTATCGCTTGTGAGATGTCCTGGTGGGGTAGAAAGTCAGTCAGTCATTAGTATGCTAGTGGTTCATTGTGGTTTGTAGTTAACTGACCTACCCAGCCTTTTGATTTCTGAAAGACTACTTATTTCATGTTGCCTATATTGACATCCCAGCAAATCGATCTGACTTATTCATGCTTCATCCTCTGAAGCAGCAGCCATCCCAGTGTCTCCATGCTCACCTTACCCTGATCAAGCGTAAGCAGCCATCTTTGATCTATCTTCGCTGCTTCCATTACCCTGAGTGCCGCCAGGCTTTTATTAGCCTTAATAATAATATGATCTACAGGATGTAGGAAGGACAGACATCTATCGAAGTGGACGCAGTGATATTCAAGGCCTAGTGGTAAACACTAAAAAAAAATAACCAACAGCTAAGACAAGATTTTGTTTTTTTAATTTAAACAGACAACCAGTAGCTGGGATGAGATAAAACATTAAACAGACAACCAGTAGCTAGGATGAGATAAAACACTAAACAGACAACCAGTATCTGGGATGAGATAAAACATTAAACAGACAACCAGTAGCTGGAATGAGATAAAACACTAAACAGACAACCAGTAGCTGGGATGAGATAAAACATTAAACAGACAACCAGTACATGTGCCAAGATAACAAAATTACACAAACAACTAGTACATGGGACAAGATAAAACATTTAACAGACAACTAGTACATGAAACAAAATTAAAAAATCAAATAGACAACTAGTTCCTGTGACGAGATAAAACATTAGACAAATAGTACATGGGACAAGATAAAACATTTAACAGACAACTAGTACACGAGACAAGACAAAAAAATTAAACAGACAACTAGTTCCTGAGACGAGATAAAACATTAGACAAATAGTACATGGGACAAGATAAAACATTAAACATACAAACAGTATCCCGGACAAAAACAAATACTAAACAGACAACCAGTCTATAGGATGAGATAAAACACTAAACAGACAACTAGCACCCGGAATGAGATACAACATTAAATAACTAGTACATGGGACAAGATAAAACATTAAACAGACAACTAGTACCTGGGACGAGATAAAACATTAAACAGAAAACTAGTACCTGGGACAAGATAAAACATTAAACAGACAACCAGTACCTCAGACAAGATAAAACATTAGACAAATAGTACATGGGACAAGATAAAACATCAAAAAGACAACCAGTACCTTGGACGAGATCTCCTCTAAAGAACCATCAGGATGGACAATGACCACTTGAGGTACATCCCCAAGTTTGCCGGACTTAATGTCCTGAAGCAGGTTCTTGTGCAGGGTGTCCGAGGCCAGCGGTGCCGACACCAACTGACTGGACGAGACTGGGGTACTGTTACAGCTGCTAAGTGAGAACACACCATCCTCCTTGGTTGGCTGCAGATTGTGTGGACAATTAATTAGCAAAATTCACCATTTTGTTTTAAATACCTTGACATAATACACAAACACAATACATTTAAGATGTTTCCCGTGTGAGTTCTGGGGCCCTATTGTGGGGAAAACAAGAACAGACCCATTTTTGGGAGGGAATAAATAACAGACACACTGCTCCCTAACAAACATGCTTCCAAAGGCTACTTAATATGGATCTGCTTAAATCAAATATGATGGCCTTTTTCTTCAATGATCTCTAGTCATGCACCGAATTTACTGTGGGCCATAAACTGTGATATCCTCTTAAGGTCTCTTGGGTTTCCTTAAAGCTAGGTTATCACGCCTACTGAGTGTGGCCACATGCTGTCTCTCAGCTCCTCCAGGGAAAGACAGTCTTGCAAGACATGTAATGGAGTCCATTCAGCATGCAGACATTGGCACATAGCTCTTTGGCTCATACCTAATTTATATGACTGTTTGTTGCAACTGAAGTCACCACTGCATAAGTGAAAAATTGTGATTTGGTCTGTTTATCGAGGACATCTTTTTCCTGGTTATAATCTGTGTTGGTTTCCTAAACTGTTTATGATCTTCTCTAAATGAGGGTTTTGACTTCTAGAACATAATATACAAACTGCTTTTTAATGGGTGAAGATAGAAAAATACAAAGAAGAAGGAGATGGTTGTTCAATTTCATATACTGTCTGTACAAAATCTTGAAAATATTTCATACAGTATCAAAGTTTATCACCTAAATGCCTCCCTTCCAGCAGAACAGCAAATGATTTGTAGCATCTTCATCCCTACTTGATGGACAATGCAATGAAATGCGCTGTTTCTGTAAGGTTACTAACAACACAATCAGGGAAAATCATACTTGAATGGCTTAGACACAAAATATCAGGCAAAACCATCAGGGAAAGGGATGACCATGTCTGCTGATACAAAGACTGAAATGGGTATCATGTGAGATGCATACAAAAGATCAAAAGATAAATTGCTATCATACCGAACAACCGTGACACTTATCACATACAACAAACAACCAAATCCACTCACACACACACACACACACAAAATAATCCATCGTGAATCCTAAGGTCCTTTACAGAATGTCACTTCGTCACGGCACGCCTGAAAGTCTCTCTTTCTCTGTCAATTCTCTAGCCCTATGTTCTTTCATAGTGAATGCATGTTCAATGTCTTGTATCCACATTCAGGGAAGTCTGCCTTGTATTTCAGAAACTGTACCCTCCATCACCTTTCTCTGCAGACTACCATGATGTTTAACATGGCCAAAATCTCTGCAGACTACCATGATGTTTAACATGGCCAAAATATCTGCAGACTACCATGATGTTTAACATGGCCAAAATCTCTGCAGACTACCATGATGTTTAACATGGCCAAAATCTCTGCAGACTACCATGATGTTTAACATGGCCAAAATCTCTGCAGACTACCATGATGTTTAACATGGCCAAAATCTCTGCAGACTACCATGATGTTTAACATGGCCAAAATCTCTGCAGACTACCATGATGTTTAACATGGCCAAAATCTCTGCAGACTACCATGATGTTTAACATGGCCAAAATCTCTGCAGACTACCATGATGTTTAACATGGCCAAAATCTCTGCAGACTACCATGATGTTTAACATGGCCAAAATCTCTGCAGACTACCATGATGTTTAACATGACCAAAATATCTGCAGACTACCATGATGTTTAACATGGCCAAAATATCTGCAGACTACCATGATGTTTAACATGACCAAAATATCTGCAGACTACCATGATGTTTAACATGACCAAAATATCTGCAGACTACCATGATGTTTAACATGGCCAAAATCTCTGCAGACTACCATGATGTTTAACATGGCCAAAATCTCTGCAGACTACCATGATGTTTAACATGGCCAAAATATCTGCAGACTACCATGATGTTTAACATGACCAAAATATCTGCAGACTACCATGATGTTTAACATGGCCAAAATATCTGCAGACTACCATGATGTTTAACATGGCCAAAATATCTGCAGACTACCATGATGTTTCACATGACCAAAATATCTGCAGACTACCATGATGTTTAACATGGCCAAAATATCTGCAGACTACCATGATGTTTAACATGACCAAAATATCTGCAGACTACCATGATGTTTAACATGGCCAAAATATCTTGGCTTTCAGGGCAGGATGCTGTTTATGAGCCAATTTTCCTCGATGCACAGATCACATAGGATGTTGGTGTTTTTCCTTCTTCTTGGTCCATAGTATTCTAAGAATGTTTCTATAGCACTGCAGTCTTTTTGTAGCAATATAAATTAGTACTAAAATAAACATGTTGCTGACACCTTTCCGTCTTTCCAGGTGACAGTGTTATATTGTGCTATGAAAAGCATGGGACTCACTTCCATGGCGATGGCAATTGTGTTTAGCAAGATCCGCCTGAGTTAGGACAAGTCTTCAACAATTATAGCATGGGATTTCAGGTCCGTTGTTGCCATTGTATGTATTTAGTGTGTTTCTTCTCAGGCGCTGGGCTCTCATCCTTTCTGGAATCATTTATCATTCCTTTCATGATGTGTCCCCTCCAAGCAACATGGTCCATGGCATGTTCCTACAAATCCACCTCAATACCAGTATCATTCATGTCCTGCTTGCACACATCCTTATATTGTAGTAGAGGTCAACATCGGCATCTTCTACCCATCTGTAATTCATCACATAAGATGTCCCTAGTGACTCTGCCATCCTCCATTCTTCAGTGTGACCCATTCATCCGAGCCGTCATAGACTGAGCATTGAGAAGACTGCTGTAATACCTGCTCATTCCAATACTCCAGTGTTTTTTATCTTGTCCTGCCACTTAATGCCAAGTATTCTTCTTAGGCATTGCATGTGAAAGCTATTTAGCCATTTCTCCTGGTGCGAATAAGCTGACCAAGTTTCACTGCTATAAAGCAGAGTGCTGAGAACACACAGAAACAGTTGGTTGCGTATCCTTTACCGGACGTTGCAAAACTAACCCCAGAATTCTTTTTTTTTTTACCTGTTGTGGTTTTTCTAGGCAAATTTATGCCTAGTAGTTTGCCACTGCTTTCTGGAAAGTTGTCTTCTCAATAACACTGTCGCAACCCACCCAAGGCCCACATCAGGAATCAAACATGGCACCCCGGCAATGCCTAAGCCACAGACACTAACTGAGAACACAAGCCTGATTTATGATTAATTACGATTGGCACCTTTCCGTCTTTCCAGACGAAAGTGTTATATTGCGCTATGAGGAGGCATGAGACACAGCCCATGGCAATGGCGAGTGTGACTAGCAAGACCGGCCTGTGTCAAAAAAGTCTTCCACAATGATTAAGGCCAGGGATAAAGTTCCTCCTCTCCATGGCACAAAGCCTGGGCAGTATTGTAGAGACCATATGTTGCCCATGCATCATGATCCCCTCCCTCGACCTGCCTTGTTTACTCCAAAAGAAAGGTAAAACCAGTACGTTTGGAACGAGGCAGGTTGCAGAAGCTGCCGGATCAGAAGAGCAGTGCTCTATCTGTTTGCCTGTCGGAGCTTCCCTCCTAGACTAGCTGCCAGCCAGCCAAGGGGAAGGGCCTGGTCTGCCCTGCCATAACATAAAGTTTTCAGGTTGCATTTCCTCTTCCTAGGATAAGGCTAGTGTCCTCCCCAATGCGCTCCTCGGCCCGAAGCTGTTGGCACAATATGGGATGTTGAGTTAGTATACGCCGCCCAACATTCAGCGTAACAGAAGACAGGTGGTACCGGCAACTGTTATACGGTAGCTCAGTCATATCTGACCAAGACCTGACCACAAGCCTGATTAATTTACAATATAAACCACTAGTACTAATATAAATAACTAGTACCTCTTTATTGCATGATTAATTTACATTACAAACCACTAGTACTAATATAAATAACTAGTACCTCTTTATTGCATGATTAATTTACAATACAAACCACTAGTACTAATATAAATAACTAGTAACTCTTTATTGCATGATTAATTTACAATACAAACCACTAGTACTAATATAAATAACTAGTACCTCTTTATTGCATGATTAATTTACAATATAAACCACTAGTGCGCGGCGTCCGTGGCTAAGGCGTTGCGAGTCCGACTCGTAAGCCAGCATACCGCGATCGAAACCCACTGCAGGCTGCGTGGATTTTTATCGTGGTATGGGACGTCGCAGGTCGACCCAGCCTAAAATGGGTACCAGGATGGGCTGTCCTGGGAAAGTAAAGACAGCCGGCGTAATGCTCACCACATTACCCACAGAGTGCTGATGGTCTGTAAAAATATGGGACGCTCTGCCCATATGCCCGATGCGCTGAAAGGCATGAAAAGGGATCTTTACTTTTACTTTACTTTTTAAACCACTAGTACTAATATAAATAACTAGTACCTCTTTATTGCATGATTAATTTACAATACAAACCACTAGTACTAATATAAATAACTAGTACCTCTTTATTGCATGATTAATTTACAATACAAACCACTAGTACTAATATAAATAACTAGTACCTCTTTATTGCATGATTAATTTACAATACAAACCACTAGTACTAATATAAATAAATAGTACCTCTTTATTGCATGATTAATTTACAATACAAACCACTAGTACTAATATAAATAACTAGTACCTCTTTATTGCATGATTAATTTACAATACAAACCACTAGTACTAATATAAATAACTAGTACCTCTTTATCGCGCGAGGAAGGCGACTGGGACTCCATCCCCGACTCTCCCCCAAGCTGGCAGGAATGTTTATGCTTGTCTAACGTCTGCTGGAGGTTAAATGAACTATGGCAGACATCACAGTCAAATTTCTTGCCATCAGAGTGCACTGCGGCATGGAGGTCAAACATGCGCTCGGTGTTGGCTACAAAATCACACTGGTCACACTTGAAATTTTTATCAACGTCATGTCCTCGCACATGCTGCTTGTATGAATATCTAGAATTGGAAAGAGAAGAGCAAATTAAATTAAAAGGTAAAAGACGGTTCTAACATAATCAAGCCTCAAGGCATATGATGCACTCTCATATCGTTAAATTGTTGGTAGCTGATCAGGTATCATTCTCATAACATGACCAAACCATTTCTCCTTTTCCATCCTTTGCCGAGTGATTAACTACTTTGTGCCTGTTTACAATATAGCTGCGATATTTGCGCCTTTTGAATGACACATCCAACTTCTTCAGGCATTTGTTGTCTGGGTTAGCTTCCCGTTAGTTGTGTGGGACACTGTAGGCATTCCACAGCCTCATCTGTGTGGGACATTCCACAGCCTCATCTATGTGGGACATTCCACAGCCTCATCTGTGTGGGACATTCTACAGCGTCATCTATGTGGGACATTGCATAGCCTCATCTGTATGGGACATTCCACAGCTTCATCTATGTGGGACACTCTAGGCATTCAACAGCCTCGTCTATGTGGGACATTCTGCAGCCTCAGTTTTGTGGCAACTTCATCATCCCGTGATCTATGAGTCTTCTCCTTAAATGGCTCATTCCAGGGCAGCGGCATGCAGACGGGTCAGCCTTGAAGGGAAGAGAGGCATTTCCCGCCGACTAAAGAAGCTTTCATAAAAGTAGTGCCAACACATAGTTCTCAGGTACTGGGCTCACCTAAGAAACTCTGGCTTTTTCAGATCCCCATGTGGGTTCTGGGGCCCAATTTTGGGAGGAAAAGCCTGCACATAAATTAGCCAGATCTGTAAAACATGTAAAACTTAGGTCCTGGAAGAAAGCCTAGAGATTGGTGAACAGCCAGGATTTTTTGCCGGAGTTTACAGCCAGTGAACGCAAACAAACAAAAACTTATTTAGAAGTCAAAATGGCAGACAAAAGAGATAGACTGAGCAGGATTTAGAAGAAAAAAAATGCAATACCTGTCGGAGAAAGTCTGACTGCATTTTTTACATTCCAAAGGAGATCCCATGGAGTGCAGTTTGTTGAAGTGTATCTTGAGGTCAGTCTTGCGGCCACATGTAGTGGGACACAAGCCACACTGGAACACAGGCTTGTTCCCCGAGTGGATGAGTTTATGAGCCTTCAGGCTGTTACTTTGAGTGAACCGGGCATGGCAGATGTCACACTCGTATGGTTTCTCACCCGTGTGTATACGCAGATGTCGCTTCAGTTTGTATGTGTCTGGGCTGGCATATGGGCAATGGAGACACTGTGAGAGAAGTTTAAAGATACATTTTTTTAAAATATTCACATATTCATATTGATTTGGTAATGGCTATTTGTAAATTACGAACACTCGTAACTTTTTTTTTTAATGTGCATGTGTTTGGGCTGACATATGGACAACAGAAACACTGTCAGGGAAGTTTAAAAAAAAAAAACAGTATTAATATATTTGTACGGATTTATTAAAGTGCTATTTCCGATTTCTGAACACCATCATCCTTTGCAACACGTCATTCTCATCATGACCTGCCTGAAAGAAGCTCGGTCTCTCACCACGTGCACTTTCATATTCAAGGAGTCGATTATATCCTGTGCTCATCTTTTGTGTTGGCCCTACTTCCTGGTACCCTGCCTTCTGCTTTTATTTTTTTCCAATTCGCTGTGTCGCTTGATATGACTCTAATATTTCTGAACACTATTTTACCTGATATGCCTTACTGTGCCAAGCTATTTTAACAACCCGAAAATAAAAAAAAAATTTTAATACAAATTACAAATGTGAATTAATCAAATAATAAATAACAACATAAACAACAAATTAACACAGATAAACCTGACCTTCGACATCAATTCTGGCTTGACATGCACAGCTATGTGGAATCAATATCCAGCTATTTGTAATCGGTGCTATGCTGGAACAGTCAACACTCTCACACTACATCGAATGAGGAAGATGGAGCACTGTTGCCAGTGTCCCAAGTGCTAGAGACTGAGTCTAGTTAACTCCCTATGTGGGTTCTGAGACCCTGTTGTAGGGGGAAAACAAAAACAGCCTCCCTAACAATGTCGCAAGAGTCCACTACTTGGCAGCTTCCATCAAAGTTGGGGTGCATCTGCTGGAGAGGCAAGCAACCAACAGTCTGCATACAAATAAGCCAGATCTGTAAAATGCAGCACTCGGTTCTGGAACAAGACTAAAATCCAGAGACAGATGAACAACCAGAACTTTCCATAGAGTATACAGCTGGTAAACATGAAGAAACCTAGTTAACCAGTCAAGATGGCAGGAAATAAACAGCCAATAAAACAATCAACATCCAGGCATCCCAACATCAGAATGATGTGCACAGCTGGCTACTTAAAAAGGAGATGGAGCACGTGTAAGAATGTCCCAAGAGCAGTAATGTCAATCCTTCATTTATTCACTCATTTTAACAGTTCCTTTTGGTTGGTTGTCTAATAAAATAATGCAGACACAAACAATACATAGCAAAATTTGCCTGGCATGTTTCGGTGTATCTCGTCCGATGCATTACAACAGATTTAAATCAATACATAATAAAATCAAAATGAACTCCCTTTTTCACTGAAATGCTGAAACCACACTGTCAAGTTACAGCACATCTCTCTACTGGGAAATTCATCAGGAAAACACTGTTTTAAATATCGACAGAAAGTAAACAAAAAATGAGCACCTTATATGGTCTTTCACCGGTGTGAGATCTCATGTGCCTCTTGAGTTTGGAGAGCTCCACACTAGCATAATCACAGTCGGGGCATCGATGAGGCTTCTCAAAAGTATGCCTGTACCGGATGTGTCGAACCAGCTCACCAGATGTGGTAAATGCTGCCTCACATGTCTGAAACAAATGTTGGAAAATTGTTCTGCAACTGAAATTTCTTCTGCTTCTTCAGTTTCACTGGCTGTGAACACTGGCAGAAAGTTCTGGCTGTTCATCCACTTCAATACTTTAGTCTTGTTTCAGAACTTGAGTTGTGAATGACAGCCGTTTTGCAGATCTGGCTTATGTGTATGCTGGTTCCTTGCCTCTCAGGCAGATGTGCACTCTGGCTTTGTAAGAAAATTACCTTATTAGTCAATTCAAATTTTACAACATGCTTGTTGGGAAAGAATGGGCGAAGGAAGAGGGGGGGGGGGAGCCCTGGTGTAGCAGCTAGACACTTTCTTGCGGATCTGAAGGTTGTGGGTTCAGACCCTAACATTTTTCAATAATGATCTTGGTTCTTAGGTCGACCCAGCTTTAAACAGGTACCAGGTAAAGTCCTGTGAAGTAAAGGCAGCCAGCATGAAGCCACATCATCCACTGAGTGCCGGCTGGGAAATAAAATATAGGTCTAACACAATATGCCCAATACGCCTAAAGGCATGGAAAAGGGTCCTTTAATTTATCTTGTTATTTTCTTCTTTTTCTTTTTAATGAGACAGTGGTGGATTTTCTTTTACCCACAGTGAGATCCCGGAAAATTACATAAGAAAGAAATTACTTCCTCAAGACAAGAGAACCAAAAAAAAAAAAAAAAGAAAGAAACAAGAAACAAGAGAAACAAACAACTGCCTCAAGATTTCAAAATACCAAAAGAAATTAATTACTTCCCTGAGACTTAAAAGTAACAATATAAAGAGATTACATTATCTCTTTCTACTGTTTCTTCCTACTAGATTTCAAAGTAATAACATAAATAAATTACTTCCTTAGGATTTCTAAGTAACAACAGACACACACAAATTATTTCCTCAAAATTTCAAAGTAACATTACAAAGAAATGACTTACTCCAGATTTCAGTCAGTGAGTTCAACTCCAGGATGCATAAAAAATAAATTAATTAATCAAAATTGCAAAATTAAAAAAAAAGACAGAAGAATCAAATAAGAAAATAGCCCTCACGGACACTGAAACAACCCAACTACCTTGCATTTATGTGGCCGGGTTCCTGTGTGGGTGTTGCTATGATTCAACAGCGAAGCTGGGGTCTTGAAACCTCGGTCGCACTCCTTACATTTGTGAGGTCTCTCGTCCGAATGAGACTTCATGTGACGAGTCAGCAGGTAACGTTTCGGGCTGGTGTAGTCACAGTAATCACACATCAACTGGGCACCAAAGTTTGCAGCGATATATTTCTTGGGGATGACCCGCAAGACCCGCTTAACTTCCCCATTTATTTCCACCAATTCTTCAGACAGTTCCTGAGTTTCTTGCTGAAATGGGAAAATCAAACTAGTTTAGGGACATAAATGATAAACTATAAGAAGTAAAATCTCCCTGCTTGCCAGATCAAATCCTACTTCCATGTCCATACGTTATTTTATCTAACTGCATGTTTTCTCTCAGCATACGTTCATAAACGGCTTCAGAATATCTTGACATCATGTTAACTATTGGCCGGGGATCTACATAGCAAAGTGATCATGCCATTTGCCTCGCACTCTGAAGGTCACAGATTGCAGTTTGATTTAGGAATGTAGTTTTTAATAGAGACCCTGGGGACTGTCGCTAGAGCTACAGAGTTTATGCTTTGTGTGATACTCTCGGCAGTGGGCAGTGCCAAGGGCCTATGTGATGACTGTAGGTGATGACAGTGAATGATGGACTAGCACTTCGATGACCACAGTGATTATGCGTTCAACAGCCCACAGGAGTTTCCAACAAGGACATCATGATGGACGAGAGAATTCATGAGCAGCTGACTGACCCCAGGGTGAACGGCAGACTGGACAAAACCGATGCAGTGAAGGGTTTTCGATGAGTTGGTCCAGAGACCTGGGCTGTAAATAAGGTGTGTTTTTGATGGCCAGAGTTTTTCGTAGTTGTCTGCGTTCAGATATGTAGCGACGGTTTAGGAAATGTTTAGTGCTAGTTTTGACGGTGTTATAACTTAAGTGTGATTAGGAATAGGTAGTTTAACTTGGTGTTCTGTAGAGATAGTTCAGTGTGTTTAGTGTTGTTAGCTGGCTGAACTACTGTTCACCCCATAAGCAAGGTGGTTCAAAAAGGGGCTTTGTCAGTATAAGATGAAGAACATGATGATGTCGTGGGCACTGTATTCAGGTGACTCAGCACGGTGACATGGTCTGTCTGACCACACTATCTAGAGACGTGCAGAGCTACCGCAGCTGAGGTGTAAGTTGTGAGGGCTCAGGAAAGAGCTTGTATCAGAGACTGTTGGTTCGGACCCGGTTAGCAACCTAAGGTCAGTGTGTGGGCAGCTATTGTTAAGCACCCCCGCAAGTGTGTGGCAGAGTTAGTAACGCGGGCCGTCTACGAGCCGAACTACCCAGTACTTGTTGTAATTACACTAAAGGCTCATTATATGCTCTAATGGTGTTGGGTTAGCTGTGTTTAAGATAGACAACCTTGTCATGGAGCTGCCGAGGTAGAAAGTAGCCCTCTGACAGGTAGCCAATGTACAGAGTGATCCAGCCAAATGAGATAAACACTGTGCAATATAGTCGATCCTCTCGACCTTACCTTTAAGTATTTCCCGCTGTGGGTTCCGAGGCCCTGTTGGGTCGGTGGGGGTAACACAAAGAACTGACTTACTGTCCCTCCCCCACCCTTCCTTCCCCCCCCCCCCCACAGGCATGCCATAAAGTTCATTAATAAGGAGTGTTTTCTTTTAAGTCAGAGTGCCGTTGCCTGACAGGTGAGGAACCAACAGTCTGCTCACAGGTAAAACAGATGTGCATGCAAAAGTCAAGTTCTGGAACAAGATCAAAGACCAGAAGTAGACAAAAGCAAATTAGGGCTGTTTAGAATCCTGTTCCACCTGTGTGGGCTTATAATGGAGAAAAAGAATAGGTAACAATGTAAACTATCAAGCATGTCACAACGGCAATCAAGGAAGATTGGTGTGGGACTGGTTATCTCAGTCTACACTTTTCCATATCCAACTGCCAATGAATTTCTACAGTTCACAATGTGCACACAGGTTTTCCTTTTTTTTTTTTTTTAAACCTCATCTTCCCTGTGTAGATTCTGGGGCCCCAATGTGGGAAAAACAAGAGCTGCCTACCCTATAAGCATGACCTGAGAGTTGACTAACTAGGCTTCATCTGAAGTCGTAGTACATCTGTCGGAGAGGCAGTGAATCAACAGTCTGCTTACAAAGAAGCCAAATTTGTAAAAATGGCTGTGCACGCAAAACTAAATTGTTGGAACAAGACCAAAGTCTAGAAGAGGACGAACAACCAGCGATTTGTGTCAGAGTTTACAGCCAGTGAACGTTAAGAAAAAGAAGACTTAAATTATTGGCTATAAACTCACTTTAAGGCCCTCCACGACTTGAGCTAGAGGCTGTGAGTCTCCTTTCTGGACCTCTTGTGGTGCCATGATCAGGACATAGTTCATATCGCCATTCTGGTTCAGTTCTGTCGGCAGGATGGTTATCGTCTGATAGCCCAGTTCAGCTCTGTCCGTGCCCAGAAGACCCGACATTTGCTGAAAGAAATGATGCATGACACTGAAACACGTTAGAAATGAGAATTATCTTTATCAAATGGTGTATTTATGCATGGGAAAATGTGACATCAATTTGGCTGTTAAAAAAAGCCATTGGAGTTATAAGAAAACCTCCCTAGCTGCTAGTTTAAGTTACTATATTCATATCCTGGCCTATTAAGCACTGAGCAGGCGCAATCAGAACCAGTCGAAGTGAACTATGCTTTGCAAGAGCAGGTCACTGCAGTCATGCTGAAATATCAGCATTTACAGTAGTGACATAACCAGAAGTGACTAGATTTAGTCTTCTCGCGGCGACACAGTTAATATACCCCAGACGTTCCATGTGTATTTTGCATGTACATATGAGGAGCGGCAAGCTGAATGCTTCAGAATGCTATGCTCTCAGGCAGGAGACCCAGATTCAAATCATCAGTAAGATTACGGGTTTTTGTCTGTCAGGGCAAAAATAAAACCCTAATCTGCACAAGCAATGGCCCCTGCATTTGTCACATGGGCCCTAATTCCTCAGACTCAAGACTCCCCCACCACAAAAGTGGTCAACATAGACAGTAATGGCATCACGTATTTATGTACGTAAGGGTGATACAGGCAGAAATGGCAACATGTATTTATGTACGTAAGGTTGGTAAACACAGGCAGAAATGGCAACATGTATTTATGTAGTATGTATAGTCAGTATAAGGGAGTCGCCGTGGCGTAGCAGCTAGAGGCTCGCGTGCGGATCTGAAGGTCATGGGTTCACTCCCTGGCGGAGCCAGACTTTTTTCAAAAATGACCTTAGCTCCCAGGTCGACCCAGCCTTGAGTGTGTACTGGGTACAGTCCCGTGAAGTAAAGGTGGCCGGCGTGATGCTGACCACATCATCCCTCCGTACCGATTGGTCTAAAAAAATACAGGTCTAGCCCAATATGCCCAACGGCGTGGAAAAGGGACCTTTATTTTTACTTAACTTTCTAGTCAGCATAAGATTTCCTGGATTTTCCTGGAGGTAGGGAGGGAAGGGAGGATGAGAAGGAAGAAAGAAATGGAGAAATGAAACAAGGAAGGGGGGATGAAGAAAAGGAAGGGTAGAAAGACAGGAAAAGAAGGAAAGAATGAATAAATGAAGAAAAAGAGAAAAGAAGGAAGGATCTGCACCTTTATAAAATAGCAGTGCTGAAAAGAATAAATATCCACCTTCACTTCTGTTTTCTGCATTAAACCTAAAAATGTTAGCTGGCAAGCTATGTTGTGGTTTACAGCTAGGCTATGATATCTACCTTTTTTGCCCCAACACATCCTATTTCAACAAATCCTTAAATAACTACCTGTTACAACAAGCTTGTTAAATAACTATGGATCTATTCTCTCTCCCTCCCCCCTCCCTCAAAATGGGATCCCGGAACCCACACAGGAACACATTCACTAAACCAAGCATTTTTAAAACCTTCAACGACTGTTCCCCACCTGCAGAGCTTCAGCAGTCAGGGCGGATCTCTGAGGTATCGCCACCAGATGGGGCTGAGTGTTATCAGATGTGCTCTGAATCGCTACGAGCTGGGTGGTTCCAGTCATGCTGCTACTGGTGGCAGTCATCATGCTGTTTCTGCCGGCAACTACCATGGTGGAGCTACCCACTGAACCCAGAATCGAGGAGTTTGAGGAGATGATGTTTGCCGCGCTTGCTACAACCTGTTTAAAAAAAAAAGTAAAACAGACTCTTGGGTTCAAATTTTTTTTTTTAATGACTGACCCTGGTTCAAATATTTTATTTTACCAACAACCTTGGCTCCCCGGCTGACACAGCTTAAAATAGGTACCAGGAAGTGTCATGGGAAATAAAGATGGCAGGCAATGCTGGCCCCATCATCCTTTGAGTGCCGACTGGTCTTTAAAAAAATGTGAGTCTAGGATCATAATCCCTGGGTGAGTTCTGGGGCCCTATTGACACACTGCTCCATAAAAGGTGAACAATTAAGGAGTTGCTGAAATTGAGTGTACTGGGCCAAAAGTTGCAGATACTGCAGCCTAGCTGTAAACCACAATAAACCTGGGGAAATTGCCCCTTTAAGGGGGAACACAGAAGAATGTAGATACAGTGGCATTCCTGTGGAATAAATGAGGTGTGAATACCACCTATCTGACAACTAAGCAAAGGGAGCCTGGACATTCTCCAGGCACAGATATCACAGCCTAGCTTTAAACCACAACACTACATGCCTACCATGCTTTCAAGGGAAAAACCAGAACAAGAATCACACATCAAATACTCCACTCGCATAATTAGGGACCTACAATCACTTCACTTATTAAATTATCACAGTCTAGCTGTAAACCACAAGATGCCAACCACCCTTCCAAGGGTTAATACAGAAGAAGAATCATATGCCCAATGCAGCACAGGCATAATTAGGGACATCTGCTTACATCACTTACTAAAATATCACAGCCTAGAGGTAAACCACAAAGCAAACACAGAAGAAGAATCATATACCCAATACTCCACTGCCATAATTAGGGGCTTTTGCTTACTTTATTTACAAAAAAATTAGTTTTTTTTTTTTAAACATGCAAAGTTATCCTTTTTTTTATGTTTAAAAAGAAAGACATGCACAGTTATTATATTATGTTCCTTTCAATAGCTATATGTTGCCTTTTTTTTAGTAGTAAAACACCATCGGATAAATAAGCATTTGTTGTTTTTTTAACAATATATAAGATGCTGTTCTCCTATATTATTAATAAAATCAGATGCAAAAAGAAGCAATTTTCTGATCCCTAAATCAGGTGACTTCTGGCTGTGACAGTCCCATAAATACCGATATATTGGCTTGGCCTATCTGCAGCCTGGCTGTTGTTGGGGGCCCTAATATAGCCTACCTGTTGAACAGGGAGGGTGATGGGAGTTGTGCCCGGGTAATTCTCATCCCAATGGTGGCACTTTGTGTTACTGGGTGTTTATCGCTCGTTGTGTGGCTGGGGGGATGGGGAGGTTTGAACATCACTCACTCACTATATGCAGTGGCCTGTTTTCAAAAAGAGTAGTTAAATTACATAGGTTCTATGAACACCTGCACCTTGTTTAATAAAGGCCAGGATCTAAATATATGGACTAAAAATTACATTTAGGGGCTTCCTTATGATTCTTATTGCTTTCCCCCCTGCATTTTAGAGAAAATGAATAGAAAGAAGCATGGTCCCCTAACAAGGATGTCGTAGAAGGCTACAAATTAGGGGTGTTTCCTTCAAAGTCAGAATGCATCTGGCGGAAAGGCAAGGAACAAATAGTCTGCACACAAATAAGCCAGATCTGTAATAAGGATGTGCAAAATAAAACTCGTTCTGGATCAAAACCAGTCCAGAAGTGGACAAACAACTAGAACTTTCAGCCGGAGGTTAAAACCGGTGATGTGAGAACATACAACATACAAATTAAACACAAAGAGGGAGACCTTAAGAAATATGGAAAAAAGGAGTCAGTTACAGCTGAAGACCTCACATCATCACAGCATACCAAGCAACCAACTATGCCCTGGCTCAGCTACTAATCCTCTGTTGAACTATGAAGCCCAACTGCCCAAGGAGATAATGACTCAGCATCATGTGCCATGCCAACTGGCATAGGCGCTCATGCGTCTACACAGATTACGATCCCTGGTTGCCTGGAACAGCTCTCTTGATGAAATCCCTCTATTCCATTGTTTCAGCCCATCCAGAATCATCTCTTTTGGTCTACCTCTACCCCTTTTTCCATTGATCTTTCCATTTGACACAATATTCTCCAATGTCCCTCTTCTCATTATGTGACCAAAGAACAGTGTTTGTCTCCTTCTCATTGTTGTATATAGAAATCTAGTTTCATTAGCCTCTTTCAAGCAATTGTTGTTAGTTACTCTGGCCGTCCAAGATATTTACTAAAGAAAGAGAACGAAGAGACCTACCCCCAAAGTGCCATCAGACATGCTAAGAGCATCTGTGGAAATGCCCAAATCCTGGCTGAGGATCTGCATCTGAGAGCTGTCAGCGATGGAGAGGTACTGGCCATCATCTCCGAGAGACACAATCCGGATGAGCTTCCCTGCACTGGCATCCAGACTGTCACTCAGGGAAGTCATAATGAGACCCTGGAAGGATTAACAATTCGATCAATCAATCAATCAATCAATTAAATTAAATGTCATTTCCACAATGACTGTTGGCTGCAATTGATTTCCAAAATTGCCCCATATTTTGGATGCACACTGTGACAGATGTTGTCAAAATCAACATCACAGCAGTCTGCTCCCTGACATTAGGCCTCCAGGTTACATTTTTCCTTCCTAGGATAAGGCTAAGATCCTCACCAATGCGCTCCTCTGCTGCAATCTGTTGGCACAATGTAGGATATCAGGTGTGGTATCAAGACGCGCAACACTCAGCATTAACGAGGAACTGACTAATGAAAGATGTCAAGATGACACAAATTGCAGGCTGATATCTGATACACTTATCTGTACAGCTTGACAGGTCACAACTAGGTGCAATGCAATCCTTCTCCACAAAAGAAAAATGAAGATCAGACTGAATATTTAAACTCCTCAAATGGGTTCTGTGACACCCATTCTGAGGCAAGGATGGGGGCAGAACAGACCCACTGCGCTTCTCAACATGTGCGTCACAAAAAGTGACTATATAAGGATCTGCATAAATCAGACGTTCTGGGTCAAAAAAGGTGCAGATATCGCAATTTATGCTGATGTATGAATGAAATATGTATGAATGTAAAGACAGAGGCTAAAAGGACAGAATGTAATACAAGCCTGAATGCACAATTTTTAACCCTCTGAAAATAAATATTGTTCATTCGTTCATTCCACGTGTCAACTGCACTTCTAATAGAGAACATAGAAGAAGAAGAGGAGGAAGAAGAAAAGGAGCAGAATGAGGAGGAGAAGAAGAATTACAAAGTGACCTACCTGTGGAATAGATGAGGTATGAATTTCACCTATCCCGTGTGAAAAATGAGCCAGGTGAGCCTGGACATTCTCCAGATCTATGGAGCCAACTTCCTGTTTGATGGATGCGGCCATATCAGCCTCTGTATCAACACTACCCACCATATTCTGAATCTGGTGAGTGGACTCCTCAGACAAAGGGGTGTCCAGTATACCTGTTTGGTAAAAATCAATCAGGTGTTGAAGTGTTCACTGCCTATTATACTAAAACAAATCTGCTGCAACCAATTACAGGAAAACAAAAGCATTCAATATGTTCAAAACAAAAGCAAAATCTTCCATTAAAAACCCTCTTGCTCCATAAATGTTGATATTTAGATTTGTCGGGATTTTTAACAGCATGTTGTCTTTGTACAATGGTCACTACGAGCATTAGGTCTTTGGTAGTTAGCATCCTTTGGATATTTTCTCCAGGTGATGCCCGTGTGTTAAGAAATGAGCAGGAAGATAGACTGGCTGGTTCTGCACTGCTTGGTGGTGAACTGATGTATGACAAATTAGATAATGTAAGGGCCCTTTAGGAACAGCTGAACAATGTGGAGGTGCAGATAGATAATTACGGTCTGATGAGAATGATGCTGCAAGGAGTTACCAGAGGATCTGGCCGATGCTCAACACTCAGAGGAATGATAAACATGAAGAAGAAGGAAATAAAAGAGAGACAACTGAAATACTTTGGCCACCTTAAAAGACATAACACACTTTTAAAAAATCATTCTGGAGGGAAAGGTCGAAGAGAGCAAGATGTAGGCAATGCTACAAGTGGAAGGACAGCATCAAGACATGGACGGGCAGCAGCCTGAGAGAGTGTACAACCAAGACAAAAGACAGAACGTGTTGGAGATCCATTGCAGCCAACCTTCATTGTGGAGACGGAAACTGATTGATTGACGCAACTGCTAGGATGCTTGCCAGTCTGCTCAGTGGTCGTAGGTTTCAACCCCCTGGATTTTTGAAAAACCTGACCAAGACCGCATTTCTTCTGCTTATTCTTTTCTTCCTCTAGTTTCTAAGGGTAGAGTTTCTGAGGCACATTTCTTTTTAATGACATTTTGAAATAGGTCATTCTTTAACATTCTTACAGGCTGAAAGGGTCAAACTGTGCTTGGGAAGTCTCAGTTATAATTGTGATCTGGGGTGCTTGTGCTGTTATTTTCTTGATTCTTCTTTGTAGCAGATAGCTGCCGCTGGGATTTTTGTGTGTGCAAAAGAAGTGTAAGTAAATTATGAATATTTAAGATCCTCTTCCACTCGTTGTGTTACTCAGGCATTTAATGGAGAAAAATAGTAATAATGTAACTTATCAAGCATGTCATGTGAGGCAGTCAAGGGGGATTGTAGTGGGAATGGCTACACCAGTCTAATCTTTTCTGTATCTAACTATCAATGAATGTACATAACACTTGCACACAGGTTTTCCTTTTTTTTTTAAATACCTTATCTGAGATGTCTATATGTCAAATCTACTACCCAGGAGCAAGAAGACTTACATCCCTTTTCCTTACTTTGTCAAAAGTTAAAAAAAAAAAAAGGTCTCAACAGTATCTGGACTTCCCAGACCAGAGAATACTGTATAAATACAACACTTACACTGGTCACAACAATTAATGCAGACCCCAAAAAATGGAGAAGGGAGCTAAATATTAAAAGTTTACAAACAAATTTTTTTTAAAAAGACTGAATGGGTATGTGATAAGC